TTGGACTTATCGTTTAAGCATATAACATTTATATGAGACGGCTCAAACAATAATCTTTGCCCTTTATATTTAAACTACATTAGTTTAACTTTGTGAAATGTCCGTAAAGTATCATCATATGATTGGTTTTAGGGCACATTTCCAACAGCATGAAATCTAATATGATGGAGGGAACAAGGAATGGTGCAGCAAGGTAAGATGATGCATCCTTTGTGGCAAGGATTGTCCTTCTAAAAACATGTAATTAAGTGTCCTGAAGTATTTAGAACACCCCTTTGCAGCTGTCCATGTGCCTTCAAACTTGATTTTCTGCACTCTTTGCTATGTGTTCCAGCTCACTTCCACATGTATTAGGTGTTAGACAAATTTCACACACATGTTTTGAATTATTTCATCTTGCAAACACCAACTTTCGGCCACTTTACACCTCTTCACACATGCACGAGCTGCTAGACACTTTCACACACATGTTATGCATCATTTCAGCTTGCAATTATGTTTGTAGTTGCTGGAAATGTGAATACAACTTGTAAAGCAGTCCAACAAATGGCATCTTTCACTTCTTTTCCTTTCAAATTGTTCCTTAAGTGTATGTATCTGCACACTTCCACACTTTAACTTCATTATTCAGATTTTTGCATATGTTGAAATTCTTTTAAAACACAAAAAACGTCCATCCAACTTGCTCCATATGCATGCAATCCAATTCAGCCTAAAATTGCTCCAAAATGCACTATCTTGCCAACTTTGTTATTAGGACCTACAAACACACGAAAATAGTGTAAAATGCTAAAATAATTATGAACTAACAACATAAATGCAAGAAAACAAGCTAATCAAGTCGCATAAATATGCTCCTATCAAATTCCCCCACACTTAGCTTTTGCTAGTCCTCGAGCAAAACAAAACAAACGAAACAAACAAAACATAACCTAGACCTTCCAACATTTGACTCAGGGATTTTCAATGAAACATGACATGCCAAAGATCACCACTCACATAGATTTAAGCAATCCTTACCCTCGAGCATACTTAATCAGGTGATCAAAAGTACGCCCAATACTCCAAAATTATTCGGCAGTCTGCCGTTATTATCACCAACTAGGTGATCAAAAGTGCACCCAGTACTCCAAAATTATTCGGCAGCCTGCCGCTATTATAATCAACCAGGTGATCAAAAGTACGTCCAGTACTCCAAAATTATACATGAGCATCACTCATGTCAATCATACATAAACATTCATGAGCATCACTCATATCAATCATACATAAACATTCATGACCATCATTCATGGCAACATTCATGAGCATCACTCATGTCAACATTCATGAGCATCACTCATGTCAATCAACTTCGAAAGCTTCATTTACAGAGCTCCAGCTTCGAGAGCTCCAACTTCAAAAGCTTCATTTACAAAGCTCCAGCTTCAAAAGCTTCACTTGCAAAGCTTCACCTACAAAGCTTCAGTGCAGGGTATACAAATACCGCCTCCGAACAACTGCCACGTCGGCCCATACATGGATTCAATTTGAAGTCTCCAGCCAACAGACTTTATTAACCGAAGACTTGGGGAACTACACTATGTACCATATATTGGGCCTCATGAAAAATACTGGGGGACTTAGCCGATCATTTATATATTGAGAAGCGAGCCCTTATTCTATAAAAGGGACTCCCCCACCATCATTAGAGAGCATCAACTCTAGCTCATCGCTTATGTATTGAGGAGCGAGCCCTTATTATATAAAAGGGACTCCCTCACCTTCAACACCATAAGCCGAGCCAACCAAGGCAACATAAGCCACAAGCCGAGCAGCCTCGCAGCATGTGCTACTTCTAGTTGAACATCATTTCACATTGAGCACCACCTCATATCGAGTATCAGTTCTAGAAGACATCTAGTTACTTCGGCCCACACATGGAATGAATTTCAAGTCTCCAGCCAAAAGACTCTCTTGACTGAAGACTTGGGGGACTACTGTTTGTACCATACTTAGGGCCTCCGTATTTAGACCTCGTATAAATACTCGGGGGACTCAAATGTAATTATGTAATAAATGGAGGGGAAAATATGTAATAAGTGAGAAGCCCTTATTCTATAAAATGACTCATCACTCTCTTCATTAAGGAGGCCAATTCTCAGGCTTGAGATCCCCAAGGCCTCAAGTCTCTCATATTCATAGCAAAGCTTTCAAGCTCTCTTCCTCACATACAAAGCCACAAGGCTAACAAATAGAGAAATACAATATCAGTGTGGACGTAGCCCAAACATTGGGGTGAACCATGATACATCTTGTGTTCTTAACTTTCTTGCAGATTCATGGTCGGATTTACGTTGTTCGAAGACCCCTCCAGTTTTGAACCACGATACAACTTAAAGTTTCAAGTGCATTTGATTAATATTGAAATTAGATAGATGAAACAAAATCAAGAAAAAGTAGTTTATGAAATATTTATGTCCCTCTATAGTTTGTGTGGGAAAAAAAAGACCACAGACGTCCATATGGATGATTTCTAAAGTTTCTTTGCTTCTTGTTGAACCTTTCTTTCTACTACTTGTCATTTTTCCCTTAGCATAATCCACACAGAACTCAAAACCATTAAAAAATTATGGGAGGCAAAATATCATTATTGAAAAGTAACTTCATCCTTTGTTTTGACATATGACCTAGCCTCTTTTGCTATAAGTTTGATGATTGTCGAGTCTTAGTATGTTCATTTTGAATGTTAAAATAAATTCGACTTTGTTGAGTTTTATTTGAAACATGTCATCATTCAAAAACCAGTACCAATTTGAGAAGATATGTAAAAAATGTTGAAGCCAATATTATTTATAGTAAAATAAAAACTCAACAAAACTAACTTTGAAACGGAACCAACTTCCTTCTCATGGAAGGCACATAGACAATGTTTTCTAATTCTAAACAAAAAACCTAATCCTAACTTTACCCTAACACTTCCTAAAGCTTTGACTTCAACTCTTCTTCCATTGCAAACTGAAACTTTGACTTCATCCATATTTGGTGTTCTCCTTGTTATGAAGTTCTGCAATGAATTCGTAACATGAATATAAAAAACTAGAGTCAAGCCACCATTTAGTGCTAGGTATAACAATTAAATTAGACTCAAAACAAGCAAAAATTTTTACCTTTCTTCATGTGGCAAGCCAAGCCTTATACAAAAATAATGTTTGAGAATCGATGGCTTGTTAGGTTTGCTATTTCTTTTAGGAGAAGGAACCCTTTTGGTAGAATTCTTTCTAGTATCGGTGGTTAAGGGTGTATGTGCCTCGGTGGTACTTCGTACATAGTTCAAAGACTTAATCTTCTCATCTTCAAACTTTTTCATCTTTTGCTCTTCACTCACACATACTGAAATTAACTCATTCACATCCCACTTTTCATGCAATGCATTGTAGGACAATTTGAGATGTGTATAACTATCAAGCAGGGAACTCAATATCACATGTACCAAGAAAGTTTCAGGGATTAGTACCTCGATAATTTTGAGTTTTCCAACGATGTCCACCATTTTTAAAATGTACTCACACACACTCTCTATGCCATCATGTCTCATGGTTGTCAATGAATTCATGAGATTACCTGTTTCAATTTTGGTGACTCCTAGTACTTTTCTTCAATGCAATTAAGGAAATCGTTTGCATTGGTAGCATCTGTCTCAGTTTTTAGTGACTCTTGGTACTTCTGCTCAATGGACTTGAGAAAATCCTTTGCATTGGTAGCATCTGTGAAGGCTCCTCGAACCACATCGGTCATGCTTCTTTTGATAATCAATAAGGAAATTCTGTTTGATTTGTGCCACTTTTCATATTTAGACTTCTGACTTGAGGTGCTTCCATCTGTTGGTGTAAAGGGCTCTTCAGTTCTAAGTGCTAAGTCCCAATCCATGACACCTAGCAGGATCTCAAGATCTTGCTTCCATTTCTTATAGTTGACACCAGTGAGTGGTTCAACTGTATTAAGGTGCATGGAGCTAGAATTCGTAGCTGTCAAAGCACATAGTTCAAGTATTAATCTTTAAATCCCCAGACTATAAATCACCTTTTCAACATCTTTAGATTGATGAACATGTGAAGACTTTTCTTTAATCACATCACCTTTATAACCAACATTTGAATTTCTATAATCAAAATTATAAACCTTTGTGGTTTGACAATAGTAATTCGATTCAAACATTTGTATATAAAGTGATATACTACTTAAATTCTAAGCATGAAAGAATGATCTTCTTTAGATGACCAGTGATCATGTTTTGAATTTAAGCACCATCACTGGTATGTATATCTGAATGAACATATATGTCTTTATGATCAAGGATAGCTTTAGCTATCACTTGATCGTGTTCATATATATTTCCCTAATGATATACTACCAGTTCTGTAACCTACGAGACAAGGAAAATTTTCTTGATGCCTTCAACATAGGGTTAAATGATATGTGAAGGGCTCTGATACCAAATGTAAGTAAATTATGCAACAGAAAAAACTTATTCACAATTATCAACTTAACCACTTACCTGTGGAAGACATCATCTCAGAGAACTAGGATTAATAACTGAAGTTCTTCTACAACTCTACACAACCGAAAGCAAGGCTCGCTCAATGGGGCTTGAGTTTTCTGTAAACTTTCGTGTACTGTGAGAGAGCAAGGACCTCAATTTTATACTACATACGATGGAATTCAATAAGGATGCCTCCCATTAAGTGATCTTTATCAAATAGTAGCTTTATCACCATGAAACACTTATGCATTATATCAGCTAGAAGAATTCTAGTTTTATCAAGAATGTATCTGACTTGAAACTTTAAGTAATACAACTCCTGATAAGTCTACCACATGTGTCAATCCTAATCTCCTTATCATTCCATATGTCTTTAATCAAATCACCAAGTGTTTGCTCTCATATAGAACTTACACTCTGGGCATGGAATGGCGTCCGTCATCCATGAAATTTTCTGTTGGTGTGGATATCAATACAGGACAAGAATATATGGTGCCTCCTTTGCCAGATTTGGAAAGAATGATTGAACCACTACCATATTTTATTGATGCCATGTTATGAAAACCAGAAAATGAGGTTGTAAGTGAAGATACTGATTCGGTGTATAATGTTACTGATGAAAATTCTAGTGAAGAGGAGAAAGGAAATATTAGCACCAGTTCTTCTAATGATCCAAACTGCAGTGAAGAAGACAGTGAAGCTAGACGCAGTCATAAGGATGGCCTTCATCGATCAAGGAGAAAAAGACCAAGGGTAAAAATGCTCTATCTATATTTAGATTCTATACCAGTTTTTGTTTTGTTCGACCTACATCGATTGAATTTTAATGATCTTTAGGTTGAGTCTTCTGAGAGGTGTGTCAAGAAAAAGAGAGTGGGTGAGCATGATCGCGTTTTATTTGGGATTAAAAGAACTAAAAATTCAAAAGGTGGCCAGAAAGTTTCAAAGAGGAAGTCTTCTAAAGCAAAGACAATGAGACCCTAGCGAGTAGCAGCACACAATGCTCAAACTGTGTTTTCTCAGAACCCTGAAACATCTACAGAAGGAGAAGAAGATGATTGGGAAGATGATTCATCGAATAGTGAGTCTCTTCAGAAAGAAATCCACACTCAAAACGATGATGGGGACTTCCAGATAATGCAACAAAACCATACTAAAGAAGAACCATCTCGACATGAGTTTGGCAATATAGTGAAGCCACGTGTAGTTTGTTCGTCTCAGTCAAACGTCAGAAGCATGCCAAAATTGGTTTTAAGCTTAAGAAGCAAGAGGCTCCAAAGGATGTAAAACTCAAAGATAATAATCAGGCTGATTTGGTGTCTCCATCTTCTAGATATCAAGATGTCACTCCAGATAACAGGATTTTTAACAGCTCTATGGATCCAGATTCCTCTTCGGTGGATGTGGTTTGTTGACTTGTATTAGGATTCCCATAATTGTGGGATTCTTACCATATTAGGTCTCCTAGTATGGAATGTAATTATTCTTTTTATTCTTTCCCATATTTGTATAGGGTTGTATATATACCTTTGTTTGAGATGAAATAAACCTATCATTGAAAAGCATTCTTTCTTCTTGGTATCGGAGCCGGGATTAGAAAACACCAAACCCTAATTATTTTTTTCTGCCGTGTCCCTGATCAATTGCAGCGAGCAACGTAGAGTTGTTGCTGCCCGTTTTCTGATTGATTGCAGCGAGCAACTGAGCAGTTGTTGCTGCCCCTTCAGTTCGTCCTTGTTGTCCCAAAGTTGCTGCAGTTTTTTTCTTGCCCGTTTGTATTAGTCAACACCAAGTTCCAAAGTTCCATCCACGTTGCAGGTAAGCGAGATGGTTGAAGAAAAGGGGACTGATTCTTAGATTGTTTGTACGGCTGCTCCAATTATGGTGCAATCAGAAAATTCAATCTTTAATATTGGTATGTTTTTGGATGAAAAGAACTATGATTTATGGGCTCCTCTCATTCAAATCCATATTGCTGGAAGGAAGAAGATGGGATATCTTCGTGGGTCTATCAAGGCACCTAACGAAGACGATCCTAAATATGATGATTGGTTCTCTGAAGATCAAAAAATAAAGAGTTGGCTTTTGTCTTCAATAAAGCCTGAGATTATGAAACGGTACATTCGGTTGTCTACATCGAAGGAAATTTGGGACTCTCTTAAGGCCGCCTACTTTGATGAGAATGATGAAGCTAGAATTTATTCGTTGAATCAGAAGGCATCACGTCTTCATCAAAATGGCCGACCTTTGGCTACCTATTTCGGGGAGCTAACTGAGATTTTCCAAGAATTGGATCACTTTAATAAAGTATCCATGGAGTGTGAAAACGACATCAAAGTGTTTCAGAAATCCACTGAGAGACAAAAAGTCTATGTGTTTCTTGGTGGTCTCGATGATGGGTTTGATCAGGTGCATGGAGAAGTGCTGCGGAAGGATCCCCCATTCGGATTGTAGGCCTCTTATGCATATGTCCGTCGCGAAGCCGACCGAAAGGAAACAATGAAGACAGAGGTTAACAGGAGTGAACCCGCTGCCATGGCAGTGAAGGCCCGTGGATCATCTTTTGGGTCGAACCGAGAAGGGTCACAAAGCCGGTCGGGACAAACTTGACCTAGCCAGACAAGCCGAGATCGTCCCCAAGGTAAGTGCCCACACTGTGGCATGACAGGACACTCTAAGAGTCGTTGCTTTGAGTTGATTGGATATCCCGAGAATTGGGATAAGACCTGTGATCCTTGGTGCAACAAATCTCGAGCCTCCGTTGCAGAAACTAAGAATGATTCGGACCAGATAGCGGACAAGGTATCTGCCATGATTGCTACAGCAGGTAGTGATGGTAAAGCACTAAGTACCTCTACTTCTGTTATGAATAATATATGGATAATTGATTCCGAAGCTACTGAACATATGACTTGCAATTCTAGACAGGTTCCCTCACTAAAAACATCCACACAAACCGAGGTCAATGTTGCTAATGGTAATGTCGTCCCTGTTATTGGGGATGGCACAGTTTCCCTTTCCGATACCATGAAACTTGACACTATTCTTGTGGTTCCCTCTCTAAATTATAATTTGTTGTCCGTTGCTCAAATAACCCTTGCCTTACATTGTTTGGTTATTTTTTGGCCCTATTTTTGTGTTTTTAAGGTCATCCGGACGCGGAAGACGATTGGTTATGGTATTAGAAGAGGGAAACTTTACTACTTGGAGTTGGCCACCAGTAGTTCTAGCCTGCTAACTCAAGCTCTTTCCATTGATGATTCTCAAAGGGGTACTAATAAAGTGTCAGATATCTGGATGTGGCACCGGCGCCTTGGGCATGTTTCCTTTGGTTATCTGCATAAATTATTTCCTAGTTTGTTTGTCAAGAATGATGTTTCTCAGTTTAAGTGTGATGTTTGTGAAATGGCTAAGAGCCATCGAACCTCCTTTCCTCCCAGTTTCAATAAAAGTACCGTTCCTTTTATGATTTTGCATTCTGATGTATGGGGACCGTCGAAAATAGCTACTCTTAGTGGTGCTTACTGGTTTGTTACTTTTATTGACGATTGTACCAGAATGACTTGGGTTATTTTGTTAAAGTCGAAAAGTGAAGTTAGTTCAGCCTTTCAACAGTTCCATAAAATGATTGCTGTGCAATGCAACAGGAATATCCAGGTTCTTCGAAGTGACAATGGGGGTGAATATGTTAATATGGAACTTCGTTCCTTCCTAGAATTGCATGGTATTGTTCATCAGACCACGTGCCCGTATACTCCTCAACAGAATGGGGTTGCTGAACGAAAAAATAGACATTTGCTGGAAATAGTTCGTGCTTCACTCATTGCGGTGCATCTGCCTCTACATTATTGGGGAGAGGCACTTACGTCCGCCACCTATATTATTAATCGTCTTCCTTCTCGTACCATAAACTTCCATACGCCACTTCAGGCTCTCACATCTCAGATTAGCAGCCCACCGACTCCCAATCTTCCCCCACGGATCTTGGGGTGTGTAGCTTTTGTTCACCTCCAGTCTCCTCAACGGAATAATAAACTTGAGCCTCGCGCTATTCGTTGTGTTTTTTTGGGGTATGCTACTACCCAGAAAGGATATCGTTGTTATCATCCTTTGAGTAAAAAAATGTTTGTAACTCAGGATGTGATTTTCCATGAGCATGAAATGTTTTTTGGCTCTTCCGCGTCCTCACTTCAAGGGGAGTACCGGAATAGTGAAGTTCTGACCTGAGATAATAGTGAAGTTTTGAGTTTTGATTACTTTTCTGTGGCTAGAAACAAGCTGCATGAAGAACAGCCATTGCAGTCATCAAGCATGGACTACACGGCATCTGGAGGAGAAGGGCCGCAGCCCACGTGTTGTGGTGATCAGCCCACGGGATCTGAAGAAGGGCAGCAGCCCGTGTTTGGTCATCAGCCCATTGAGGAGCAGAAAGAAAATCAGGAGGAAGAGGAGCCCACAGGCCTCACAGAGTTTAGGCTTGAAAGTGAGTTGCAGCCGAATGTTTGCAGTGGAACCGAGCAGCAATTGCAGCATTTGTCACGGGATTCTTCTCCCGAGGTTATGTCAGGTCCGAGTATGAACTCATCTTCTATTAATTCTCATAACCAATCGTCTCCTACACCGGATGCACATCCACTCCGTCGCCTTTCAGAGCGTATTAATCGAGGTATTCCCAAACCTACTTATCAAGCAGATCCTAAGTGTAAACACAAATATTCTGTGAGTGAGCCAAACTCTGATTCAAGAGTGAGATACCCATTAAACAATTATGTGTCTACCTGTCACCTGTCAGAATCAAATAAGTCATTTATATATCAATTATCTACTGTATCTATTCCTAACAGTGTGCAGGAGGCTTTAGCAGATTCTCACTGGAAAGATGCAATGAATGAGGAATTGAGATTGTTGAAGAAGAATGCTACCTAGGAAATAACTGACTTGCCAGCCGGAAAGAAATCTGTGGGATGCAAATGGGTTTATACAGTGAAATACAAAGCAGATGGAACGGTAGATCGCTTTAAAGCACAA